TGGTCATGTAAAGTACACAAGTAACACAACCTTATCATTATGATCATGTGCAGTACACAAGTAACACAACCCTATCATTATGGTCATGTAAAGTACACAAGTAACACAACCTTATCATTATGGTCATGTGCAGTACACAAGTAACACAACCCTATCATTATGATCATGTAAAGTACAAAAGTAACACAACCCTGTCATTATGATCATGTAAAGTACACAAGTAACATAATCCTATCATTATGATCATGTGCAGAACACAAGTAACACAACCCTGTCATTATGGTCATGTGCAGTACACAAGTAACATAATCCTATCATTATGATCATGTGCAGTACACAAGTAACACAATCCTGTCATTATGGTCATGTGCAGTACACAAGTAACATAATCCTATCATTATGATCATGTAAAGTACACAAGTAACACAACCTTATCATTATGGTCATGTGCAGTACACAAGTAACACAACCCTATCATTATAGTCATCTTAAATACATAAGTAACACAATCCTATTACTATGGTAATGTTAAGTACACAAGTAACACAATCCTATCGTTATAGTCATGTGCAGTACATAAATTAACACAATGCTATCGTTATATTCATGTTAAGTACACAAGTAACACAATCCTATTATTATACCCATGTTAAGTAAATAAGTAACACAATCCTATTATTATACCCATGTTAAGTACATAAATTAACACAATACTATCGTTATAGTCATGTTAAACGTCATCCTTGTAACGTCGAAACATGTAGAGTCGTCAACTTTTTGAAGGCCATAGATAGGCCGAAATAAAATGTTTTTAATTGTGTACTAGTTTAACGTTGAGTATTATTTATGATTTTAACTTCATACACAAGTGCCAAAATACTATAATTATAACTAAATAAGTTTCGTATTTTGTTACGTATTTTGCAATAGTTACTCTAAATAATCCACTGGTTTAAAAGCACCTCAACCTCTCTTCCTTAATACAGTAAATTACATTCTTAAGAATCCACTGGTTTAAAGACATCTTAGCCTTCCTTATCGAATGGCAGATATCCGTGGGATATCTTTGTACGAAATTCAACAAGCTCTTGGATCGTTAGTTATGAACTTTTTTCTACATCGTGCATTTTGATGAAACAGATGAACTTGGCACATGACAGTGTAGTCTTTATAGAGCAAGGTTGGATATTAGTTTCTCCGCACGCACCAAAAAACCAAAGTGGCCAGTATACAGTGGTTTTATATATTCCAAGAATATCGGCTGCTTTAGTTCGGGCTTCACCTAAAAGTATAGTAAGATTCGTGAACTACTGCCAATCGGCTAAGAAACCATTTATTTCCAGTTTAAAGATCTATCTGAAGAATGGTTTTGAGGATAATACACCGTCTGATAGGAATGTTTCTGAAGAAGCTAAAACTGAGACTGCAGTAGGATTCAAACTGCCAACTCTTCTCACTGGGAAGATGCTTTAGTGGTAGTGGGTTCAATATGTGGACAGAAGGTTTAGACAGTGGGTTCAATATGTGGACAGAAGGTTTAGACAGTGGGTTCAATATATGGACTGAAGATTTTGACAGTGGGTTAAATATGTTTACTGAAGGTTTAGACAGTGGGTTAAATATGTGGACTGAAGATTTTGACAGTGGGTTCAATATGTGGACAGAAGGTTTAGACAGTGGGTTAAATATGTGGACTGAAGATTTAGACAGTGGGTTCAATATGTTTACTGAAGGTTTAGACAGTGGGTTCAATATGTAGATTGACGATTTTGACTATAATATTTATTTAATAAAATGTTTAGTAGTTTAAATCAGTACTTCAGGCCTCCCAAAATATGCTTTCACTGACTTAAATTCCAAAAATTACTTCAAAACTCTATGGGTCACTCACATTTCCAGTGTGCATGCCAAAATAATTGTTCTCATTCTCAATTTAGACAAAAGATGGCGCTAAGGTATACACTTCTAATACTTCTTAAAGATCTTGGCTAGCAGTATTAAATCGGAATAAAAAACTGAGTTACTATGGCAACTACAGGTGCACTTTTACTAATCTAGAAGGAGACTGCTCCAAGCCTATGCTAACCTAAAGAACTCGATAGGTGGCGTCATGTCAGTTTCATTCATGCTTACAGTTTTCGTCTCTTGCAGGAAACCAGAATTGAGACTTTGGAAAGAGAAGAATTTTCCAACGGAATTGTTTTTATAAATGTTTTGTTTAAACAGACTAGTTGAGAGTAAATAAATATGATAATTTAAATGTCTCTTGAGTAATAAAGCATCTTAGCAGACAAGGTTTGTCACATTGGGCTACTCTTCTCCGTAAAGAACTCTGCTATAGATGCGTTTCCGATATCAATCTAAGAATTGATTTTTGAAATTATCCCAACAGTCATGCTTTGTTGTAAGAGGCAGATTGGTAAGTTTGGTTGTTGTAGAGAGTTAACAAGTAAATAATATTGTTGTACAAAGCCAGTGGTAACTATTGCTAAGTTTAATTGTTGAAAATATCTAAAGTAGGTATTATTGTTGTGCAAAGTCAGTGGTAACTATTGCTAAGTTTGGTAGTTGTAGGTAGCTAACAAGTAAGTACTATTATTGTCTAAAGTCAGTGGTAACTATTGCTAAGTTTGGTTGTTGTAGAAGGCTAACAAGTAGGTACTATTATTGTCTAAAGTCAGTGGTAACTATTGCTAACTTTGGTTGTTGTAGGTAGCTAACAAGTAGGTACTATTGTTGTACAAAGTCATTGATAACTATTGCCTAATTTAATTATTGTCTAAAGTCAGTGGTAATTATTGCTAAGTTTGGTTGTTGCAGAAGGCTAACGAGTAGGTACTATTGTTGTACAAAGTCAGTCGTAACTATTGCTTAGTTTGGTTGTTGTAGGTATTATTGTTGTATAAAGTCAGTGGTAACTATTTCAAAATTTAAATGTTGTACAAAGCTAACAAGTTTAATTGTTAAACAGAATATACAGATAATCCAGTTACTGTATATCCAATGTTATATATATATATTGCTTTAGAGTAAAGCCAGCTTGTAATCCTTAAACTAACCTGTCCCACCAGGAAACTTGTTAAAAACAATAGATCATAGACCCAGTTATCATACAGTTGGTCAATCCCACTTTTCGTTGGTAAAATAGTTGGTGGTGAGTGGTGTCGATTAGCTTTTTTTTTCCTCTAGTTTATCACTTCTGAATTAGGGTGATACCCGTGGTGGGCAGGGCACAGATAGCCCTTGTGTAGCTTTGTGCATAATTAAAAACAAACAAACAATGTATGATATTTATGTTCTAGTACAAAAGTATACCGTTGCAAATAGATGCTAAACAATTCCTTGTTTCAGAGATAAGCTTGAGAGCTTATAAGCCATAAATTCATTGTTTGATCCCTGTTGTATGCACAACCCAAATAAAACAGCAAACAAATAAATCAGTTCTTAGTTATCGAAATACTTTTATAACAAATAAATCAGCACTCAGTTACCGAAATAATTTTATAACAAATAAATCAGTGGTCAGTTACCGAAATACTTTTATAACAAATAAATCAGTTCTCAGTTATCGAAATACTTTTATAACAAATAAATCAGCTCTCAGTTACCAAAATAATTTTATAACAAATAAATCAGTTCTTAGTTACTGAAATAATTTTTTTATAAATAAATTAGTACTCAGTTACGGAAATAATTTTATAATAAATCAGTACTCACTACTCAGTTACCGAAATAATTTGATAACAAATAAATTCGTACTCAGTTATTGAAATAATTTAATTAATAAATAAATTAGTACTTAGTTATAAAAATAATTGTTGATATTTTGTATTTCAAATGTTAGGAAAGAACCCCGATTTATCAGAAATTCACGTCATGTATTAATTCTGTCTTAAACTGTTGCATTCACCTACATGTCCTGTATTGAAGTGACCTAATGGTTAGCGTACATAATATTGGGAATCTGAGGGTTCGGAGTTCGCTGTCCGTTCCTGCAAAAACGCTCAAAGAACGTTTGGTCTGTTTGTGGGCTATATAGGAGTGGTGGCTAAATCCTAGATAGCCCTATTTTGTAGCTAAGCATGAAACTCTAAGATAATGAAATGTTCATCCTAGCGGACAAAGTGTTAACCACCTCCCATAAAGAACCGGGGCCGGCCATAGGCTTTCTAGAGCACTCGACTCGCGAGATCGAGTCCTATCACCAAACATACATGTTTTTTTTTAGCCGCAAGGACGTTATAATGTTATGAAACCCGGTTTCTAGCGTTGTAAGTCCGCAGACATACCAGGTTTAAAAAACACGGTTTAAATTCAGTCACTTATCAACAGTAATTACTGTACAGATGTTACAGTTGTGCATTATATCTTTTAACTTCTTGAACAAACCGCTTCAGATAAACGTGTGGAGTATTTATAGTAATACTACAGACATTTTAATGTTTTCACCATTTATATACATACATGTAGGCAGGCAAAGCGACATATACATCCACGCGTATACGTAGCCAAAGAAACATATATACATGCATATTGATAAAAAAAAAAAGAAAACTATCCATTTGAAGGCCCAGCAGTACAATAAGGGGAAAAAAATCGCTGCACCATTTCACAGACTTTATTATATATTTGTTTCTTAACTGGAACGTCTTCAAGTCGTCATTCCTCAGAGTTGAACTGCATAAGAACCCGACAGAAACGTACACAAGACAAAGATTTATAAGGATACTAAAGTAAAATACGAAGGACCAGCTTTAAAACGCATCCAAATGCAGATGCTTACTGAAAGTAAACAGATGCGTTCCTTGATTAACTCAAAGAAATCTTCACGTGTCGGACATATTAGGTTATTAAACGATCATTCTAATGCTTACATTAACTACAAGAAGCGCAACACACATGTAACTATTACGTAGGTGAGATGCTTACAAACATTGTGGAATACCAGCTTCGACTGGAAGACGTTTACAAACAATGTGGAATACCTGGATCGACTTGAAGACCCTTACAATCATTGTGGAATACCAGCTTTGACTGGAAGACGCTTACAAACATTGTGAAATATATGGTTCGACTGGTAGATGCTTATAAACATTGTGGAATACCTGGATCGATTGGTAGATGCTTACAAACATTGTGGAATACCTGGATCGATTGGTAGATGCTTACAAACATTGTGGAATACCTGGATCGATTGGAAGACACTTACAAACGTTGTGAAATATATGGTTCGACTTGAAGACGCTTACAATCATTGTGGAATACCAGCTTTGACTGGAAGACGCTTACAAACATTGTGAAATATATGGTTCGACTGGTAGATGCTTACAAACAATGTGGAATACCTGGATCGATTGGAAGACACTTACAAAGATTGTGGAATACCTGGATCGATTAGAAGACGCTTACAAATATTGTGGAATACCAGATTCGATTGGAAGACACTTACAAACGTTGTGGAATATCTGGTTCGACTGGTAGATGCTCACAAACGTGGTGCAATATCTGGTTCGACTGGTAGATGCTCACAAACAATGTGGAATACCTGGATCGACTGGAAGACGCTTACAAACAATGTGGAATACCTGTATCGATTAAAAGACGCTTACAAATACTGTGGAATACCAGATTCGACTGGAAGACGCTTACAATCATTGTGAAAACCTGGTTCGATTTAAATACGCTTACAAACATTATAGAATAATAGGTTTAACTGAAATATGTTTACAAGCATTGTGCAATAACTGGTTCGACTAGAAGATGCTTACAAACACTGTGTAATAACTGATTCGATTGAAATGTGTTTTAAAACGTTGTGGAGTGACTTGTTCGAGTGAAAGATGCTCACAAGTAGCGTGGAATAAGTTGACTCAACCAAAATATCCTTCTAATTATTATAGAGTAACTGGTTCGGCTAAAAGATGCTTACAAACACTGTGTAATAACTGATTCGACTGAAATGTGTTTTAAAACGTTGTGGAGTGACTTGTTCGAGTGAAAGATGCTCACAAGTAGCGTGGAATAAGTTGACTCAACCAAAATATCCTTCTAATTATTATAGAGTAACTGGTTCGGCTAAAAGATGCTTACAAACACTGTGTAATAACTGATTCGACTGAAATGTGTTTT